TGACAGGCGCAAACGACACGAAGCAAGCCGCAGCCCATATGAAGTGAGCTAAGCGAGAGAACCAATCAGCATCGCAAAAAAATAGCTACAATTAAATTTCTTACATGTCTTTTTTTAGAGAGGATTTTTGTTTTTGATTAAAGCAGAGAATTTAGCAGTAAATATTTATTTTATGTCACTTTATTTATATTTATTTACCAATTTTGAATTACATTATTTCCTTTCAGAAATAAGCACGATGAACTATTTAATAAGGCGAAGATTTGAAATTATATATGTAAATTCTCTGCTTTAATAAAAAACAAAAATTCATATAAAATCTAAACTACAGCATAAAATAACAGAGTGCATTGGTGAACGCATTTCAGTACAAGTCTAGTTCGCATTACGTTCAGATGACAGATTCCTTAACCTCGGATGTGACTAACTTTAACGCTAATTATCTCGCTTCGCGAGGCAGAGCGACATTTTTTTCAGTCAGATTCTTTTATTTTATGCAAAAATCCGTCGAATGAGTCTATTTTCATCAAAGTCGAAGGTGAGGATAATTGTTCTAAAAAATTACCAATAAAAATAATAGATTATTTGGTTTGAACACGGCTATCGATACAAATTGTATGAATACTTCAAAACTTAAAAAAAAGTGCAATGACTGAAGATGATTGTCTACAACAGAAGTTGCGGGGGTAATCGTATTTTTGAAAGATCATTTTATCCGGTATGTTACGTTACAAATCGGTATCAGTATTTTGATTGTGAGTCATGCTTGGTTCCACAGCATTTATATATTAAACCGTGAACTTTATTATATGCTCTCTAGATTCAGTGTATCCAAAAGCTATGTACTTAAATAACACACTGGCAACGAACTTAATAATCCTCGTAGCACAAGAAGGACTTGTGTGGACATTTAGAAGTCCTCGGAATATTTTTAGGATATTCTGAGGATTTATGCGGATATTTAGCAATCCTCTGCATGTCTTTGGGACATCTTTTAAATCTTGTGCTATGTGGGGACCGATTGGAATGCAGTTACTCTACAAATATAAAAATTCTCCTCCTATGAGGTTCCTGACTTGTGAGTCGAGACTAGTATGTGCAGTCAATGTGTGTTAATACGAAACACACACACTTATACGAGTTGTATATTATATACCGGGACATCTAGGGAGTCAAAGCTCTCACAGTCTAGTATATTAGACGTCCGTGTCCGATCCTGATATTAAGGAATTGACAGATTGGTTCCGGTATTAAGAAAGATCTGATATCGAAAACTGTACGTGGTCGCGGTCATCAACGTGTTATTACTGACTGTCAAGATCGGCAAATTGCTTCTCATTTTTTGCGCAAACAAATAATAAAGGCACATTCGCGGTAATTTGACAGGCGCAAGTTGTAGATTATCATATATCTTAGCCGTTTAAGTTGGCCCTCGTTTTTGCTCTCAATCGAAAGTATCGAGTCTAATGTAGGATTTACACCGCATCCGACATTCGACGTACGAGAACAAGAAAGAAGGGCACAAGTCACAAGAAAGAAGAGCACAAATTAAGTGTTATTCCGAGGAAACGCAGCTCGGTAACTTGCAGCAGTAGCTCGGGGTAGAGCCAGGAAAACGTCTACCGGGGACACGGCTCGGTAATCCGTAGCAGTAGCTCGGGGTAGAGCCAAAAATAGAGAATTCAATTCTCCATTAGAAAGCTGTTCTCCTATTGAATATCGGATGTCGTACGTCGGACATCGGACGCGGTGTGGATCCTCCATAACGCTTGCTCATCGCCGAACTCGACTACAGTGTCTACGCAATCATTGATCTGTTCTTTTCAGCTGCACTGCTGAACTGGTGCAACAAGTTAGAGTGAGAAAACATATACTTGTCTCACTTTAACTTACTGCACCAGTTCAGCAGCGCAGCTGAAAAGAATAGACACATATTAAACTGGATAGGTGGAATCAAATTCATTTTTACGACAAATCTCGTTTCTGTCTCCATGAAAAAAATACTCGTGTATATACGTGGCGCTGACGTGGAGAGAGTGTTATGATCGCCGCTCTCTACCACGCTAGTACGTTTATATCAGTTCAGTGATGATATCAGTATGTATTTCGTCAAAAATGACATAGAGGGACTTTATTTTTTATACATGTTCGAACGCTAAGACTCTTTTTTTCTAAGTTCTATTTTTATATGAACATACTATATAAGGTTGTTTAGCTTGAAAATCAGAGAAGCGTATTTAGCGTTTGAATATGCGTCAAGAATATGGCCCCAGAACTTTTGGCATATTTACCACCAATCTACCAACAATAAATGCCATTTAATATTTGAAATTGTCATTCTTCGTCCACATGTCATTTCTTTGAGATGTCAGGATAATCCAAAGGAGGATGAATTAAAAAAGTGTCGAATTTTAGCTCGTAAGTGGAAAGTGAAAATAGATCTTGAAAAATCATTGTTTGGATCCTCAAATGACAGGAAATAACAATCATTTGTCCAAAAAGTGAAAACATTGCCGGAATAGCTTAAATATAGCAAAAAGATGACATTATCCATATATGTAATTTTAATAAATGAAAACCATGATTCTAATCTAAACTGTGAATACATTCTGTATGTAAAAATCGCGAGCTACTATAGCATTACTCAGAATGCATTACGTGGAAATACAGTCTATCCAACATCCCTTGACAGAGATCAGAGCCTCACTGACTTGTAAATCACTTCTGTGGTATTTAATGACTTCAATTCCTCCAAATTCCTTAAACGGCGTTTAAGGGATCGCGAAAGACAATCTCCAGAAGTTTCAATTAAGTTTCAAATAACTTTAAGTTAGTATTAAGAGAAATGCTTCAGCAAATAAAAAGCAGATAATTTCTCTAGGAAGAAAAAGTAAAGAAATAAAAAAAAAATATTTTAAATAAAAACTTCAAACTTTTTATTATAGTTGCAATGGATTTGACGGAAATTTTCTTAATTTTGGAAGGCGTAAAAAATGATAATTTCGAAGGAATAAAATGTTTTCTTGTTTATCGAGGTACAACTTTGTGGAAAAATATGTTTTAAATCTACGAAAAACACCTTAAAATAGAACTTTTGCTCTTTAAAATGTCTTCGTTAAAATGATTCTACGTTATTTTATTTCGAAACTACAGTTTTGAAAAATTTGACATTCTTTTACGAGATAAAAGCACTCTCTTTTTTGTTTTGAAGAGCACGTTTCATACGTGATTCTTGATATAATTCGAATGTACCATATGCTTTTGATCTCAGCACATATAAATTGAACTACTTGTACAACAACACACTACACACACGTTTACCTAAGTATTTATGTTCATATACTATGTAAATTTTTTTTACAAAATTATTTTTTTAACACAAAACATACTCAACTTGGAACTTTTAATATTTATCACTTCATTTTGCATGTTTTTTATCATCACTTCTTTTTTTGTAATAATGGACACATTTTTTAATGTTTTTACAGTTAACACAATTTGTTTACTTATTAATTTTAACACTTTTTTTACTCAATTTTTTATAAGGAAATGTTGGGCGTCTTTTTTATCAAGTATAGCGCAAAATGCTCACATGCTCAAATACAATGAGGGGTCTCTTAATAAAAATCTGATCGTAACATGTTTTGTGTCTTAACTTTATTTATTTACACGCAAATATATTATATATAATATATGTATATATATATATATATATATATATATATATATATATATATATATATATATATCACTGTTTTATGTCACTATATAACCCTTGAGATTTACACGTAAAAGCTATGATCTCTCTAAATCATCGTCTTTTCTAATATATATTTAAAAACACATCAAAACTCGTTCGTTCATTTCATCTTTGCCATTTAACGATAAATCGGAAAAGAAGGGAAATAGATTAGAAACTGTCAACACGTTGGATTGGACGCCCACGCATTCAACGTTCAAACATCGATCGGGAAATTCTTTACGATTACAAGATCACACGAAGAGGCGCGCGGCGATCCTGCGTTAGTGCTGGCATGATAAAACAAAGGGGAGGGGGGCAAAAATCAAGCCGAACTTCCGTAATACTGTTTACATATTGTCTTTTCGTCGATCCATCATCATCCCGTCCACACGCCTCTCTTTCTACCTATCTCCCCTTTTGTTGTCAAGTAACGTGAGAACGGAAATTTAAAACATGCAAGCGCGCGTAAGTGAAAAATGAGAATTACACTTCTCGATGTCGTTCAAATCGAAATCGACTTATTATATACTTCAACATTGGCACGGAATGATGCAACTACAAATTTCGAGATATCGTCGCCCACTGTATACGACTTCTTCATGTATTCGCCTTGCAATCATTATATCAATTGTTCAATTATTATGTCAATTATTATGCAGTTTGCAACGTCAAATCTAATGGAACGAATAAACTCGGCTTAAACGGTTTCTAGGAACTCATAACGTCATACGCTTTCTGTTCTGAAAGAGAAAAGAACCGAAAAAAAAATCATTCACGAGCAGAATCGAACTTGTCTCTCTGCGTTTTCTCTTGCCCGTCAGACTATTTAATTCGGAAACCGTAACAGACACTGACTGGAGAGTTTCATATATCTCTTTATCGATAAATAGATCCAGCGTGGTTTAATGTTCCTGTTTCTTCGCCACGGCCATCTTAATGATGTCAGAATCGAAAAAATAAAGAAAACATATTTACAAGATTCTGGTAAATATGTTGAAGTAAAAAGATATAGAATGAATTTAGAAAACAACGGTTTAATTGTTGAATATTTCTTGCTTCCAATTGAAACATATGTTTCATCTAGAGCAAATCTAGAATACTTCAGCGAAATTGGCTGAATTCACAGTTATATTTTCTGAAATACAATCATATCCGTAAAATGACTTACGATCGATAGAGTAAAAAAGATCTATAAAACAGTCCAATATCTTATTTTTTGTTGTCTAACAATCGAATGGCCGTGATGAAGGATCGGGTACTTTATATTACACGCACACTTGAGAAAACATTTGAACATTATTTACAATAATCTAACCCCTCCCCCACGACGGTGTCGATACGCGCTGCAACCTCGTCGGCGACGAAAGCGTCTCCGAGCATATTACTTTCTCGCTAAAATCTTCAGACCGAAACTGCCCTCCGACTACAGATAATTTAATAAATGTAATGTTCGACGCCTATAAAATAGCGTATCACTTTGAAAACGTAAGACGTAAAGTGTGTGTGATGTAATTTATACGCACGAAACACATAATCATTATCTGAATTTTTTTGCACTTAAAAAAAATTATCGGTACTTAACACTAGCGTTCAAACCGCACTCCGAACTTATCGCGCTCAGTTCGTTCTTATTACATTTAACTCTATGCGCACTTATCGGAATATTCGGCGTTCCTTGCAGTGACTATAGCACTTGCTACTCAAGGGTCGTGTAACCCCTTCGTGAGAGTGGAATTCGCCTACGAAAATTTCTTTCAATGCCGCATCAAATCCGATAGAACCAATTGCACATTGCGGGAATAAAAATTTACACGTAATCTCGTTAGGTCTCTCGCTGAACAGCCGAGATATCACACAGATATATTACAATTGCGAGTGAAGTGAAATCCTCGAAGTTTACATTTGTCTTTATAAATTTGTTATCTTTTCTCCGTTGTTTAACAACACGTTCGTTGAGTGCGGCATTAGAAGAAAGCATTACTTTGGTCGTGCACTCGCTGTACGAAAAAACTTATGGCATCTGCTGTGAATATTGCTAAAAAAAAAAACTTTTTAATAAAAAAAAAATCCGCCTAGTGTATGGAAACTCGATAGATCTGAATATCGATTTCAATAGTTTCTTCACACACATGTGTACAAGTGATATAAATACAATATTAAAAATGCATCGACATATGTTTAGCATCTCGAAAACCTCACAATCGATCCATAAAAAATATTTACTATATGTACAAACTGCCTTTTTCCTCGATCTTTTTCTTTCTTTTCGTTCAACCCCGACGTCCTATCTCATCGCTACAATCATTTCAAGCTGCAACCACTCAGACTTGCAATGTTAAAATCAGCGGTAGTCTCCGGTTCATTCGTGCTGTATACGTATACCACATATTTCTACAACATATGAATTGCACGAGAAGCTTTCATGTAAGCACTCTGCACGGCCCGTTTACCGAATCGCTACTTAGCATAATTGCAGTTAACGGAACGTAGTCAGTCTTGAGACGCTTCCATAAAAGCTTTCCACCTTTCGGTCATAAAGTTTGATCTATATATATAATATATTCGAAATTATCATATGAATTAGTGGCTTGGCACATCCTTTCTAGTATGTAAATATCCTGTGACACATATATATGCTTCTCATGCGATTACCAGCGGCTCGTCGTCCGAAAAACCTCGAATTACAGGGCTGTCTTCTTCTTCTGTCAAAACAAAAAAAAAATCATTAATTCTTTCACATACCAAAAGGATTTCAATAAAAATTCAGTTTGATCAGTAGGTTAATTAAGGTTCTTGGGCGGTCAGCCGAGAATCCCGCATTGACGGTGGTAACATGTGGTCTGGTTTTTTTAGTTGCATTACTGAACTAATGTAATAAGTTAAAATGAGACAAGTATATTCTTTCTCACTCTAATTTATTGCACTAATTCAGCAGTGCAGCTAAACAGGACAGACCAATGGTTATAAACGGTAAAATAATGAACTATTAGGTGAGAAAATAAATTTGTTCGTTTCTGAAAAACTTCTGTACTAGTGCAGACTTTGCAACAAAAGGATTAGGGTGCCAATATATGAAGCGCGGAAACACGGAAGAGAATAGTAACTAGATTCCGCGTTTCCGCGACTTTATTTCTCCTTATATTACATGGAGCATAATTTGCGCGGAAAAGCGGAACGGTTTGATGACAAATAGACATCTGTATTCATTTCTTAAAATTGTATTCACTTAATTTATTGCAATTTTTATTAATATGTTTATCTTTTCAGCTTATCTGTTGAATACAAGCATTTTAATTAATAAATACCGTTAAAAATTAATATTTTATAATTCTCTATATCGTTTTTCCGCTCAAAATATGCCTCATGTAATATAAGGCAAACAAAAAAGACGCGGAACGTGGAGATCTAATAAGATTTTGTGTTCCGCGCGTTTCCGCGCTTCATATATTGGCACCTTTAGAGAAAAAGAAAATATACTTGTTTTTCTTTAACTTATTGCACTTAGTGCAAAAGTTCATCGAAAACGAACAGATCTAGTGATGTAAACAGATGACTAATTTTTCCTGCAAACCACAGGGCTGCATTTCAAAACTCTACTTGGTCAACTCTATGGAACCCTTAGTGATATGAGAAGAGAGTAACGTAGAATAATCTAGCATTTTAGAACGGGAGTTCTCTAAAAATGATATATATAGTTTATGATATATTTAGTCTTGGTTTAATCACCGCAACGTAAGGACGTTAATACATATATCAAATGTTTTATGTAAACTAGCTCAAAAACAATCTGGTACATGTACCAAACGATTGTCAAAAATTGCCTTATGACACGAACAAACCAAATTCCAAGAGCGTTACCTATTTAAATTTGCGCGGTTCGAACTTACTCCTGTAACCCTCCTTGGCTGAAACGTTACCCAAGTGTACTCGTTGCGTTGGAGTGAGCGAAATAGTGAGATAAAAAGAGAGAGAGAGTACTCGAGTGACGTTTCCGAACGCAGCTCTAGAAGTTAGAGTTATAAGAGTTGACTCTGAGTATAGTCTACTCTGAATGTCTGAACGATTTGGTTCCGCCCATCTAGTATGTTACACCACATTTTAGAACGATGTTGAGTTAACTCCGCTACTCGGAGTAGAGTTTTTGTACGCAGCCCAGCGTTATTACTAAGTATGGTGCACGTCACATGTGACACAATTGTGGAAATGTGGAAATGCTCCGGACACTTATTGTGATATTTAATACATACAAATAATTTTTCAGTCATATTCGGCGTCGAGTAAAATTAATTTCCTATCAAAATTTTTCGATTTATTTTGCGATTTTTCGCATTTATTTTACGCGGAATGTTATGTAAGAATTTCGGCAAAACAGAAATGTCTAGAGCATTTCACAAGTGTGCGAAATAGATTGCAAGTTATTTGAATAATATATCTTTTTATCTAACCGTGGTTTGCAGGAATTTTAGGCAAGATTTTCTTCGCTTCTAACATCATCAATTCAACACGGTCGCAATAATTATCCTGAAGCTTTAAAACCGCTTAGTGTTAAATCACAGAAATTATGACTAGTGATAGTTTCTAAAATAATATTTACAAATCTAAAAAACAGTAGAAATGCGGAAAAAATTTAATGATAACAATATTATTTTTATATTCGCGTCTTTTGAAGGTGAGATAGGACTCACCTAAGCCGTCCGTCGTGCCTGGGAAAGTAGCTTGACCTCGTCTCGTGTCGTAATGACTGTTAGCGAATTGCGTAAAGCTATTGGAGAGCCTTCTGTGTCGTATAACGAAATACGCCAGCGCCGACCCAAGGGCGACGACAAGTAAACAGATTGGTATAGTAAGAGACAATATGTTCGATGTGGTCATTATTACCGGGTATTCTGCTCCTGTTGAATACAAGAAGACAAAATTAATTTGAACACCATAACAAGCTCGTTGATTAATTTTACGTGACTGGTGCATGTCCACAGATTCATGTCATAGGTGGCTCACGTTGTCGTCCCAAATAACACAGAGAATTCAAAAAGAATTCAGTTATATGAAACCTATACTTACGATTACTGTTCAGTTTACGTTTAATTTTTAGATGCAAAAGGAATTCTTTTCACTGAACTGAACTTTGAAGAATTCTTTTAATACCTGAAAATGAACTCAGAATTGGTGACATACGACTGAATTTTTTATGAATTCTCTGTGCTATCTGGGGTATTATGAACTAAATTTTATTTGTTAAGTAACATGTGTCTCGCAGTAATTTTCAGAGTATTTCATGATTACGTTTTGTTCTAGAGTCAAAACATCAAATAACCTAAACAGGAAGTTCAGTGTGAGCCATATGTGGTAACGTATTAAAGATTAAAGAACGAGGAAAAATGTAAACAAAAAATAAAAACGTAAGGAAACGTAAACTGAACAGTAATCGTAAGTAAATGTAACTGATATCTCTGAAAGAAAGAAGACAAAATTATTGTATCAAAACCTACCGGATATCTGCGTGCTCCACGTTTCACTCAATGAACTGTTGTAGCCTTCGTCGGTGACAACTCGCACGGCGAACGAGTAAATCGTGTCCGTTTTGGCATCCTTGAAAATGTAAGGTGGCTTTTGGTCGGCCGGCTTGAATTGTACGTTCGACTTGTTTATCATTTTTGAGCCTTCAGCTATCAGGACTTCGTAGTGCCAATTGGCACTCTTCTTGATGTTTTCCGGCAGGTCTGGTTCTTGCCAGTAAATATAATAGTCTCGATTATTACGCAAAACACTTAGCTGATGAGGTGGCTTGATCGGCGGCGCTGTGTAGATGAACGGTTGGGTATATATGGCGTTCGCTACGTCGGTTGCTATCGTAATATTGTACTTTCCACCATATTTGAGTGAGTTGAACGTATGCTTCATAACGGTCTCGTTAGTCGGCGGCAACGTCACGACCGTCTGATTGTTGCTGATCAGTTCCGTAACATAGATCTGTGAACGAGAAAGAAGAATTGCATTAATAAATAACAGATACACAAAATAACATTTAACTTAAAGTGTGCGGCCAAGTTTAGTCTACTTTACTAAAAAAAAATTTTTTTTTAAACTAAATTGATTTTATTTTATAACTTTTGGCGCGTGATTACGAATATGCAAGTCCAAAAGTAAATCAACGTACAGTTCCAGAGAAAGTGGCTCATCTAAAATTACACCTCACTAGATAGCATTTATTTTCACAAAATAAAAATGTTAATTTGCAATGTAATTTATTTTTTGATAGCTTGCATTTGACCTTACTACCCAGATAGCCAAACCTGTGCGAGCAGATTTTACGCAGAGTCTGTCAACAGTATCTGTTGACAGAATGGACACACTGCACACAGAAACTGTTTTAGCAGTCTCTGACGACAGATTGGTGACAGACTGCGCGCAGATTCTGTTTCCTAGATAGGCTATTTAATTCTATTAAAGGCCATATGTACGTTATTAAATGGGGCAGTTTCACATACACATCATGCTGCAGAGAAGTTAAGATAATTATATTGTGTAATAATTGTACACATATACACAATAAAAAACAATGTTTATATTTTAAAATTGTATTACACATTTTTTATAAAAAAGCAACAATAATAGAGAAATAACGAGTACAAGTATAGAATAGTACAACGGTTAAATGGCCATTTAAAAGCGTACACATGTCATTCCTGGTAAAAATTGTTCTCATAATTTTTCATACAATTTCTCATCTTATTATTTTTTTAAATGTTGTTATGTCATTAAATCCGATTTAACCGTCATGCAATAAGTATTGAAGGCAGCAGCACCGAATAAAATATTAGTCTCGCTATGTAAATAACTTTTACAGAATTTTTTTGATGGTTTATTTAAAAATATATCATGCTTCGATTTTGATAAAACTTAATACAATCTGAACGGGACGATCGACCAAATTAATTCGCACATGTAAAAGTACAGTATTTTATTAACATGATAGAAAAATGTCATTATCTGCTGTTTTATTGCAGTAATTTTCTATACATTCCTT